AGGCAAAGTGAACCCTACTCAGTGTGAAGCAATGACCATGGTCGCAGCCCAAGTCATGGGGAATCATGTCGCTGTAACGGTTGGAGGCAGCAATGGACATTTTGAGTTGAATGTTTTTAAGCCGATGATGGTAAGCTTTACATTTGGTTTTTAATGTTTTTTGACAGGAGGCTAATTGTCTTGGTTTTTGTCTTTCATAAAGGTTTCTAGAGATTCTATCTTAGAAAGTTGGATGACATAAGTGGCAATTGCAAGTCAAGCATTCATTAATGTTAGAGGAAAACCCTAGATATTAGGAGTTAGGTAGGTGACTTTTAGCTTACATGGTGGTTTCCTTTTTGTTTAATAGCCCCAGTTTAAAAAAAAGATAAAAAAGAACCTCCCACACCCCTGTCTCTTCCTCATGCTGCTGCTTTCTTTTTCCTTTAAATTCAGGCGCCTGTAGCTCAGTAGGCAGGGCACAGGCCACATACACCGAGGGCGGCGGGTTAGAACTTGGCTCGGGCCAGCTAAAAAACAATGATGACTGCAACAACAATGAAAAAAACAGCCGGGCATTGTGGCCGGTGCCTGTAGTCCCAGCTGCTTGGGAGGCTGAGGCAAGAGAATCGCTTAAGCCCGAGAGTTGGAGGTTGCTGTGAGCTGTGATGCCATGGCACTCTACCAAGGGTGACATAGTGAGACTCTGACTTAAAAAAGAAAATCAATCAATCAATCAATAAATTTAGTCTTCTTGAAAGAATGACCTGTGTTCACTCTCATTTACACTGTAGTTGCTGTGGTCCAGCTCAGCCCTCCCCTTCTGCTGTCCGGTTCATTAGTGGCCTCCTTCCAGTTGACATCTGTGGTTCTTCTTTTACCTGCACCTGGGGTTGACTGGGCCTCCTGGAAACAGTCTTCAACCTTGGTTCCCCAACTTCCCCCCCACCCCCAGTTTTTCTGTCCCCTCTCCAGCTTTCTTGCAGTGATGGCTTTTACCTCTTCCACAGACCTTGAAAACATATTGTGTCCACCAAAACTGTTCTTGTTTCTTCTTTGCAAAGATGGAACAAGATGGCATCATTTTCCATCCAATTTTCCCAGCTTCAGACAGTGGAACTGTCGTCATCATTTAGAGTTCTTTATTTGCACAAAGTGTTACTGCTGAGATAAATTAGAGGCTTATTTACTCTTGGTGTCTGATGTAAAGTCTGGTTCTAATTCAGTAAGACTGCAAAGGACAGATATTAAGTGTGTTCGTCCCGTGTATCCAAATGTTTCTTGAGCACTATGTGTCAGGCCTTGTGTACTGGGTGCCGGCAGCAGAGCAGTGAGCAAGACGTATTGTTTCCCCTCATGGGTAAATAAGAAGACAGGTCACAGCAGAATTCAAACCAATAAAATTTGGTTCCAGGTGAGATTCTAAACATTTAATGCCAGCTGCTTGGCATATTTTCGGTGCTAACATTAAATACCTTGTAAATCTTTTTGTAATCTATTTTTTTGTGTGTGTTTAATATAAAATGAATTAAGATAATCAACCTTTGTCTTACAATGAAGTCATTGGTCTCAAACCTTGAATTTCCTTGCATTCCATTAGAGTTCATCTTGACAAGTATGATTTTCAGACTTTGGGGTTTTAGACCAAAAGATTTAGGATGTGGATGTATATATTATGATACATTTTCAAAAAAGAAAATAATGCTAAAACTAATTGATTCTATGCTGTTTTTAAATACTGCATGAAAAGTTATTTTAAAGTGACCATGGAATGTTTGTTTCATTAAGCATAAAAACCCTAGTGATCATTAAGAACTAGAACTAGACGACCCTGACTTGAGTGATTCCTCAAACACGTGCTCAGCGTTCTAACCTCTGCACCTTCGCTCCCTTCTGCGTGGAAAATTCTTCCCTCTCTGGCTATCTAAGTCCTTTCCATCAAATACAACTGGAATGAATTCCTCTTTGTCTGTAATCTCTAATACTCCATCCGTCTGTTTTATGTGCTTACATAACTATACTTACCGTAGATTATCTTGTATTTTAGTGATTTATATTTTTTTCAGCTTTTTTAGATTTCTGTGGTGTCAGATGTTTATAATTTCTTCCATGTTTGTTTTCTTGGGTATAGTGCCTTACGATTTTGTAAGAGTGCTATATGTTTATTAAGTTACATATTTATTATGAACCAGCAAATAATATATGTTATCGGACCAAGCGATGTCAGGCTTAGTAATTTCTCTCTCTCTCTTTCAAAGATTAAAAATGTGTTACACTCAGCCAGGCTGCTGGGGGATGCTTCAGTTTCCTTCACAGAGAACTGTGTGGTGGGAATCCAGGCCAACACAGAAAGGATCAACAAGCTAATGAATGAGTCTCTAATGCTGGTGACAGCTCTCAATCCTCACATAGGTAAGGGTTTAAGGAATAATACCATTTTGAATACAAAATAGAAAAGCTAGAACATTTTTAAGAGGGTACGGAATTCGTGTTTAAGGACAGCAAATTCCTTTTGGGTACTTTTAGTAAATCTGTTAAAATATTTAAAATTGTGTTGAAAGATACTATGTATAGGCTGGGTGCAGTGGCTCACACCTGTAATCCCAGCACTCTGGGAGGTCAAGGAGGGTGGTTCAAGACCAGTCTGAGCAAGCACGAGACCCTAAAAATAGAAAAAATAGCCAGGTGTCATGGGAGGTGCCTGTAGTCCCAGCCACTCAAGAAGATGAGGCAAGAGGATTGGTTGAACCCAAGAGTTTGAGGTTGTTGTGAGCTATGACACCACAGTGCTCTACCCAAGGTGACAGAGTGAGACTCTGTCTCAAAACAAAAAAAAGTTAAAAATTAGAAAAGAAAATATAATTTTATGGTGTCATAGTTCTTTTAGAAACTTGATCCATTGTGCTTCATTTTATCTGAAATGATGTATTTAAAAGTAAAAGGTGGAACTTCTTTAATCTTAATGAAATTCAGAGGCTAGGTACTCTACACGGAAGCTTGGACGGTTAACTATAAGACCCTCAGTTGGAATGTCACTAGGTGGCACTGGCTGATTAGCAACATGGAATGAATTCATGTTTCTACCTTCTAGATGTTCTACCATGCTTTGATTTTGTTGTTTTATTCAATTCAGGAATGGAAAGTTATAATTAAAAGAGAAAAGATTATGTATTCATTGCTTCTAAAGAATGGGAGGAAGATGGAAATATTTTATGTAAAACCATGCTTGTGTATTACAAGTCTTTCTCAGAATTGTAAACATTTCATTATGTAGAAACACACAGACCTGGTTGTAGACCGACCGTAGTGGTCCGATCAAGTAGACCGTTCCGGCTTTTGTGGGTTTTGAGGCATGTGCATTGTGTTGTCCATGTAGGTTCTGAGGCACATGCATTGTGTTATCCATGGTAAAAGCTGTTTTCTCCCTAGCTGAGGTTAACATAGTCTTTGATTTTCTGTTTTAGGACAAGGAATGATACAGTTGTTTGGCATGATATGATTACCGCTTTAAAACTTTCTTCTAGAATTCTGAACTATCAAGGCAAACTTTATATTTGTGGTTTTACATCAAGCTATAATTGTAATTTTTTTAAGTTATAGCTTCCTTGACCTTAGGTTGCTCTGAGCCCAGTCTATAAGGTTCTTTTTGTATAGTATTGAGATTGGTAATGACATTTGGATCTATCTAAAATTATCGTACATCAGCATTCACCTGGAAAGATAGAAGGGGAACCCAAAGGCTCCTGCAAGAAATGTTTCATTAGATTTTTACTTCAGACTGTGTTGCCAAAACTTTTAAATTAGATATGTCTCCTGAAGCTGAATGATTGGTGAATCTTTCTTGGAATCAATATAATGTGAGGTGAACAAGTCTGTCAGAGGTCATAGAAGGATAAAATGTGCAGACACCCCCTGGGAGACTGTGGGTTCTCTGTGTCCTCATTAAATGACAGGCCGGTTGAGAACTGCAAGTGGTGAGCATTAGTACTTAAGACTTTCATTGTGAACTTAGACTTGCCGGATCTATATTGACCCCATGAGTTTAACGTAGGGATTCTACCCTACAGAGTATGTAACTCTGAGAAAGGTGCTTTTCTCAGTAAATGGCCTTCGTACATTCTCTTTCAGCTTCAGTAAATGCCATTTTCAACATGTTCAGCATTGACAAATTCAGTTAAATAATAAAATTAAGTATGTTCCTGTTTGTTTTCTAAATGGCTAATAATGGCATACTGGCATGTAACGTCTGGTTTGGTTGGTGATCATATTGCCCAGCAGGCTTATGCCTGGTCCTGGTTATCTTCTTCTGATGTTGTTTCCTTGTTTTTGTTTTTTTCCTTTCCTTGGTTTCATTCTTGCTTTTGACTCTTCGCTTTTTTTTTTTTTTAATCATATTAAGTTGAGACAAATTGCAGAACCGCCTTGCCCCTACCTTTGTTCATTTAAAAAGCAAATAACTCAGGCAGTGCCTGTGGCTCAAAGGAGTAGGACACTGGCCCCATATGCCAGTTGGTTCAAACCCAGCCCCTGCCAAAAACTGCAAAAAGTAAAAAAATAAACATAAAAAGCAAATAACTCTGAAGTGTACAGTGATTGCTTGTACAAGTCTTTATTTCTGCCAAAGCTCCCTCTGTAATGTCAAGGAGGAGGCCACAGAATGGAAGCCACTGCAGAGAGAGCTGTGCAGGGAAGAGTGCTGTAAGCAGCTCTGGAGACGCCTTCCCAGAGCCCTTCCTGTCGTCCCCTGGCCGTGGGAGGGCTCCTGTCCTCTCCACTCCTCTTCTCTCCTCCCCTCTCCTCTCCCCTCCTCTCCTGGCAGAGCCAGCCCCCCACAGTGTCAGTTGCGCTATGCTGTGTTTTCTCTGGGACTGGAGCATGTAGCTTGTTAATGCTTCTTCAGAAAGATAATTATATCTGGTTAAAAATGTTGTTTGAAAAATATACCCAGATGAATGTTTTTATGTCTTGTTGCTATAATTTCTTTTGTTTTCCCCCCATGAAAATATCTGACTTAGTAAGCAGTTTCAACTTAAGAACAAATGTCTTGCAGTTAAGTGAGGTGTGTCTAAGTCTGTATTTCTTAAAAATAAAGAAAAATTTTATTCTATACAAGAAAGGACAATGATCAAGATAATCAGTTAAATATTTTTAAAAATAAAAGATGTCCCCTAAGACATTTTTTTATATTGATGCTATTTTGATATAGCATCAATATCAAGTAAATAATGATTACCTTCTGCTTCAGAAAACCAAATTTCACTGCTAATTCCCATGTTGTCTTTTATATTTTTCTTCAGGGTATGACAAGGCAGCAAAGATTGCCAAAACAGCACACAAAAATGGATCAACCTTAAAAGAAACTGCCATTGAACTTGGCTATCTCACAGCTGAGCAGTTTGATCAGTGGGTAAAACCTAAGGACATGCTGGGTCCAAAGTGACTTAAATAAATTTATTTCGAAAATAAACATATATAAAATAAAAACAGACTCCTATTTTTTAAAAATGAATAAATTTGAAGGGAAATTGCCACTGAACTTAGGTATTCCATAGCAGAGGAATTTGACCAGTGTATAAAGCCCCAGGACGTGCCAGATCCAAGGTGAAGTACATATAGGGCCGAGCGTGGCAGCTCACGCCACGGGATTATAGAATTATCATCCTATAATCTAGGGTGGCCAAGGCAGGTGGATTGCCTGAGCTCACAGGTTCGAGACCAGCCTAAGCCAGAGTGAGATCCTGTCTCTAAAAATAGCCAGGCATTGTGGTGGATGCCTGTAGTCCCAGCTACTTGGGAGGCTGAGGCAAGAGAATCACTTACACCCAAAAGTTTGAGGTTGCTGTGAGCTATGACATCACAGCACTCTACCCAGGGTGACAAAGTGAGGCTCTGTCTCAAAAAAATAAATGAATAAAAATTAAAAAAATAAAACTAGCTGGGACTTACAGGTGCCCGCCACAACGCCTGGCTGTGTTTTAGTTATAGTTGTCATTGTTTTTTGGCAGTTCCAGGCTGGATTCGAATCTGCCAGCTTCCACGTATGTGGCTGGCACCCTAGCCAGCCTGGTGGTGGTGGCAGTTTTAAAAAAAATTCCCCTGTAGTATCTTGACATTGCGTTCTAATCCTGTTTTTAGCTATCTTTTATTCTCCTGTGATTTGAGGACACAAGCTGACCAAGCCCTTCTGAGTGGGGATGTGTGTGTGTGTGTACATGCACATATATGTGTGCACAAGGGCTGTCCAGACAGTGTCCAGCCACGTGTGTCTCTTTTTCATGGTGCATAGCTGGATACTGTCTGGACAGCCCTCATATGTTAGGAGATAGGATAGGTTAAAAAAATTAGGATGTATATATCCTATGTGCTCATCACACACACACCCCTCCTCTGACTATTTCATTTTTTTTAAATTATTTTTTATTAAATCATAACTTTGTACATTTGATGCATTTATAGGGTTCAGGGTACTGCTATGATACATAATGAACTAAGTAACACATCTATCACAATTATACTCATTTCTAAATAGTTTTGAAATGTACGATTGCGTCATGCACATTAGGTGAGGTCCCCCCAGATGTCCTTCCTCCTCCCATGCCCCCCCCCCTTTCCTTCTACTGTCTGGATTATAGTTATGTTTTGCCATTCATATGAGTATGTAGGTGGTTATATATTGGTTTCATGATAGTATTGAGTACATTGGATACTTTTTTTTCCATTCTTGAGATACTTTACTGAGAAGATTATGTTCCAGCTCCATCCAGGTAAACATAAAAGATGTGAAGTCTTCATCTTTTTATGGCTGCATAGTATTCCATGGTGTACATATACCACAATTTGTTAATCTATTCATGGGTCAGTGGGCACTTGGGCTGTTTTTCATGTCTTGGCTATTATGAATTGGGCTGCAATAAACATTCTGGTGCAAATGTCTTTATCGTAAAATGATTTTTGATCATCTGGGTATATACCTAGTAGAGGAATTGCAGGATCAAATGGTAGGTCTACTTTTAGTTCCTTGTGTGTTCTCCAAACTTCTTTCCAAAAAGGTCATATTAGCTTGCATTCCCACCAGCAGTATAAAAGTGTTCCCTTCTCTCTGTATCCATGCCAGCATCTGTAGTTTCTCTGACTTTATTTCTATTATCGTAGAAATACTGGGCCAAGAATTACAGGACAAGGATTAGGTAAGGGGAGCAGGCAGAAAGATTGCAAAGAAAGGCAGGATTGTCATGAAAGTACATCTCACTCATCATCTCTGTGCCCCAGTGTCAAGATTTTCCAGCAGGAATTCATTTGAAACAGCCTTAGAGAATTTTGAATTAACCAGTTCTAGGAGCTCCAGAATAGGTTCAGCTAAACCCAAAGCTAAAGCACTTATTTAAAGTAGCACAGCCTCTATTACATAGGGAGTTGCAACAGGGATGGGAGGAGGTGGTTTCGATTGAGATTGCCTGCTAAGCTAATTTTGTTTTGTTTGCTTCTTCCATGTACATAATAATAGGATCGTGAAGAAATTCCTATGAGCTGAATTCCCATCTATAAGTAGTATTCTATATGGTACATTTTTTAAAATGGGATGTTTACCTTTAATATTAGCCCTGGAAAATTTGTCACACTGACACCAGCCTCTCTGTGGAAGTTTGAAAGTAGTTGCTTAATATGAAATTTAAAAGTATAAAACAGGTCTAGAAACAATGTCATGAAAGATGAAATTCATATTCTAACTAATTTCTTAAGCCTGAATGGGCCCTCTCATTGTAAAAAGCATTTTAAACTTTTTTAATGATGCTGCAGTCCCCAGCCTAATCTGAGGCCTGTTAGAAGCTGAGCTGGGCCTCAGAGCTCTGCCGCCTCCCCCAACCCCCACCCCCCGGTCCATGGAAAAATTGTCTTCCATGAAACTGGTCCCTGGTGCCCGAAAGGTTGAAGACCACTTCTATAAAGCCTATAGGATCTACTTTCCATCCCATGTGACACAGTTTTGGCCAGCGTTTTTCAGACGGCAGTGATATGCTCGTACACCTTGCTTTAAAACAAAGCTTGCGTTCCCTAGTTTGTTTGGCTTTTTAAAAAGATTTGTATTGGAAATATTGAAATGGATTAGACTGTGCAGCAGTGCCTGGAACTCAGCAGCCAAACTGGAAACTGATGTGTAGTTGTGGAACAATTTACCTACCTGCTGTTTTGCCTTAGCAGGTATTCTCAACCTAAATCAGCTGTCAGCTGAGGGGCCCCAGGGCCGTGATGACTTACATGGTAAAGATGACAGCTGATCAGATTGCTAGCCTCAGTCTTCAGTCAGCTGTCTGCTGGATTGCAGCGTATTAAAAGCCAGCGTGGAGTCCATTGAGTTGACAGTCATTTCTGTGACGCCAGTGAGGTAAAATTGCTTTATCATGTAATCTAAGTAAGGATTTTAGAACTCCCTGTTACAGGGTTATACTGAAAGTCAACTTTAGTGTTTCTTCGCTCAGGGCAATTTTGTCTCCCAGGGGACATCTGGTAATATCTGGAGACATTTTTGGTTTTCACAGCTGGGGAGGGGGTAGAGTCCAGAGGTATTACTAAGCATAATGCACAGGACGGCTCCCCTACAACAAAGAACTTTCCAGCCCAAGACATGAGTAATGACAAGACTGAGAAACTTAAAACTAAATAGGATTATTTCTGGAAATACTTAGCATTTGCTTACGCTTCACTCTGTGTGCATGTGTGTGTATGTCTGAGAGTTGCTGTGATTCTTTCTTCATTGAAACCCTGAGGGGTCTTAGATGTGAGTGTGGACAAGAAGGTGTTCAGGAAACATTAACTGATCATGGTGCCTAGTCCCAGCAAGGTGTCCAGAGATTTGTCTTGGGTAAACATAGGGTCAAGACTTTGAAAAAATGTCAGGTAGACATGTTAAAGATGAAGACAAAACAACGCGTTGAACCCTGCGAGCAAATATGAAGAAGGACAAAGGGCTTTTTTGAGTAAACAAATGTAGAGGAAAGCCGTGGGAGTCATGAACTGGTCTGTCTGAAACCCGTGGGAGTCATGAACTGGTCTGTCTGAAACTGTCCCCAAAACTTGTGATCATAAAACACCTGTGTCAAGCCAGGTAGGAGGCCATTGTATTGGTATCTTCTGATCATTTTCAAGATACCTGCTGAGATGTCACCCTGCTCATCGATGCTTTCCCCAGAAGACTAACAATGGGTACCCAGCCACAGGCCCCAGGGCTAAGATGGGGTACCAGAAGAGCTCATTCCATCCCACCTGCTGTGGTAGCATCAAATATCTACTCCGGCCTGAAAAGTCCTGTGTCAGGCTGTGCGTGGTGGTTCATGCCTATAATCCTATCACCGAGATGGGTGGATTGCTTGAGCTCAGGAGTTCAAGACCAGTCTGAGCAAGATCGAGACCCTATCCCTAAAAATAGGGGGGCATTGTGGTGATTGCTTGTGGTCCCAGCTACGTGGGAGGCTGAGGCAAGAGGATCACTTGAGCCTAAGAGTTTGAGGTTTCTGTGAGGTATGAGGCCACGGCATTCTACGGAGGGTGACAAAGTGAGACTGTCTCAAAAAAAAAAAAAAAAAAAAACACAAACAAAAAGAAACTCCTGTGTCTTTAATCAAGAGGTAAAAGAAAAGATGAGATATACTTCCTATACCACTCATTGCACTCGCAAGGATGAGCCTTCTTTTTAAGAACTTGGGATCCAGCATGTTTAATTTGGCCTTAATTGGGTGAGGAAGGACTTTAGGACAGAGCTTTTGATGAGAGCTACATGCTTTATCAGTAACAGAGCTATTCATCACATCAAGACTTAAACAGATTTGAGGCTGAGAAGAAAATGGCTGAGGCAGATGACAGATAACTGCTGAAGGAGAAAGATGTGGTCCTGGAGGTTAAATTGGAGAGGCTCATATATTCTAGGTGCCGAGGGAAGAGAGGGGGAAAGCTGGTAGATCAAGTAGGATTCAATTCCACCTCTGTTGCCTACTAGTTATGCTTGTGGGAACCACTTTACATCTATACAACCATCTCCTTATCCTTACAGTGGATACCTGTTTCATTTTTACCTTCTGAAGCCCAAATACATATATAAGGTACTCAGCACAATGACTGCCTCAATTAGCTTTCTAATTCCCTAAAAAGAATGGGCAAAATTACCAAATGCTGATTAAGAGGGTAAGACTGAGGTAAAACTGGATTAGGCCATTTTTTTCCTTCAAGAAAAACGTTGAACTACAATTTATCATCTAAAACAGTTTGGGGAATGAAAAAAGGAGATGCCAGAATAATTTAAATTGTGTAATTTTTGAAATTTTTATTGACCAAAGGCTTGGCTTTAAAATGATGGTGCTATAAATAGTGCCACTCAAAAGCTAATTTCAAAAATAGAATTTTCTCCAAAATAATAAAAATACATGTATGTGTATGTGTGTATACATTCAAAAGCAAAATTAAAAAAAAAACTTATATTGATTTTCTGAACA